GGACCACATAGCAACGACCGTTCAGAACAAATGTAAATTAGAAACATCTATCCTGCCCATGTAAGGTACGCGTTAACCTGCCCGGAATCATTGCAAGCCCCTTGTATAAACGCGTCGGGAGAACCTTCGCCCTAACGCCCTTCTTATCCAAGGGTCAAAATGGGTAGAGGCCATCCCGAGCAAGGTGGATGCTGTACGCAGATTCCTCTCCAGGATACCAACTCTCGTGCAATGCAAACTTTACTTGGTTAGTACTTGAAACTACTCAATACTCAACGTGTTAATTCTCAAGACTAGCAAAGGAAAATAAATGTGATAAGCGGTGACTAGAAAATAAGATAGTGATGTATACAACACTAGGGTAACACTAAGGTAACACTAGGCAACACTAGGGTAACATAAGCTTTGAGTTCACGGCTGTAGCCTCAGGGAGAAGGAGGGAGGCATACATTGCTGTGGCCTCGGGAGGGAAGGGAGGCATTACCTACAGTTTATTTGGTGTAATCTTTGGCCTGTCAGGTAGTGCTAGTGAGATGTCACACCACTGACCCCACTACAAGTCATGGAGGGGGGACTCGTCGACCTCCCTTCAAGAACACGGGAAGTCGGCAAAAGTCCGCTTTACAAAATAAGGGAAGATCGCTACCCATCCTCTTATAGATCAAGGAGAGGTCGTTGACCTCCTACTTAAGGGAAGGTCGCCTCCGAGTCCCTCCCATAAGTCGAGGGGAGGTGGACGCCGACCCCTCCATAAGACGAGGGGAGGTGGACGCCGACCCCTCCATAAGACGAGGGGAGGTGGACGCCGACCCCTCCATAAGACGAGGGGAGGTGGACGCCGACCCCTCCAGAGGTGACACCTAGACAAAGTGAGAATGTTAACTGTATGAGCCCCGCCTGAGTGTCATAGTAATGGTCATAAGAGCCCATGAGCCTGCCCCGCGGGGCTCACCTGGGCCTGCCCCGCGGGGCTCACCTGGGCACGCGCGCCACCAGCCAAGTAAAGTTTGTGTCGCACGCAAGCTTGACTGGGCAACTATGGTAGGCTAAACGCTAGAGGAAGTGAGTCGGCCTGGCCGTGGCCGGCCAACCTGGGGTCGGCCAGGCCGGAGCCCGGTTTGGCCGGCCACCGGCCAGCTCGTCCGTCACCCGCCGGTCAACATTATTGCTGGGGAGCCCCTTGGCCAGCGCCGGCTGCTGCTGATGCTGCTGCTGCTGCTGCTGCTGCTGGTGCCTCTACTCCCAAAGTCCGCCGCGCCCCGGGGCCCAGGAGCTGGGGGACGTGGGCGTGGGCGTTCACAGGCCCACGGGGATGGGGTAGGTGGGAACGGTGAGGCCTTGCATGCCCAGCAGGTTAGACACGGAGTAGCCAAGAGAGTTAGTAGTGGTGGTGGCCGCTGGTTGCGTGGTGAAAGCTAGACGCTTGCAGCCGCTCATGTCCATGGCGTTGGCGCCCACGCCCGCGTCCAGCCCGTACACCGCACCGTAGCCAGGTAGGCCGGTGGCCAGGTGACCTGACACCATCCCGCTCGCCGCCGCTGCTGCTGCCGCCGCCGCCCCCACGGAAGCCAAGCCACCGAGAGACGCATGAGTCACCTGCGGCAGGCTAGTGAGCGGCATTTGACTGGAGGCGGCGGCGGCGGCGGCGGCGGCAGCGGCGGGTAGGGAATACGGAGCGTAGCGGTAGGTGGCGAGGGGCGGCACAGGGGAGACCATCACTAACTCACCGTAGCCTCCACGGCCGCCACCCCTCCCGCGTCCAACACTAGTCGGCAGCATCACTTCCTTGGGCTGCGCCTTTTTGCACTCCACCTGCGGGAATACCATCAAAACATTTTAATTATTCGCTCTGAGGCAGTCCCTAGTCTTAACCTCCCTCAGGAAGACACTGCCACCTATTATACTCCCTCAGGAAGTCACTGCCACCTATTATACTCCCTCAGGAAGTCACTGCCACCTATTATATTCCCTCAGGAAGACACTGCCACTTATTATATTCCCTCAGGAAGACACTGCCACCTATTATACTCCCTCAGGAAGTCACTGCCACCTATTATACTCCTTCAGGAAGACACTGCCACCTATTATATTCCCTCAGGAAGACACTGCCACCTATTATATTCCATCAGGAAGACACTGCCACTTATTATATTCCCTCAGGAAGACACTGCCACCTATTATATTCCCTCAGGAAGACACTGCCACTTATTATATTCCCTCAGGAAGACACTGCCACCTATTATACTCCCTCAGGAAGACACTGCCACCTATTATACTCCTTCAGGAAGACACTGCCACTTATTATATTCCCTCAGGAAGACACTGCCACTATTATACCCCCTCAGGAAGACACTGCCACCTATTATACTCCCTCAGGAAGACACTGCCAGTTATTATACCCCTCAGGAAGACACTGCACCTATTTACTCCCCAGGAAGACACTGCCACCTATTATACTCCCTCAGGAAGACACTGCCACCTATTATACTCCCTCAGGAAGACACTGCCACCTATTATACTCCCTCAGGAAGACACTGTCACCTATTATACTCCCTCAGGAAGACACTGTCACCTATTATACTCCCTCAAGGAGACACTGTTACTATTATGCTCCCTCAGGAAGACACTGTCACCTATTATACTCCCTCAAGGAAACACTGTCACCTATTATGCTCCCTCAGGAAGACACTGTCACCTATTATGCTCCCTCAGGAAGACACTGTCACCTATTATGCTCCCTCAGGAAGACACTGTCACCTATTATACTCCCTCAGGAAGACACTGTCACCTATTATGCTCCCTCAGGAAGACACTGTTACCTATTATACTCCCTCAAGGAGACACTGTTACAATTATGCTCCCTAGATGACACTGTTACAACCATTATCCCCTCAGGAAGACACTTACCTATTACACTCCCTCAAGGAGACACTGTTACCTATTATGCTCCCTCAGGAAGACACTGTCACCTATTATGCTCCCTCAGGAAGACATTGTCACCTATTATGCTCCTTCAGGAAGACACTGTTACCTATTATGCTCCCTCAGGAAGACACTGTTACCTATTATACTCCCTCAGGAAGACACTGTTACCTATATAACTAGCTTAGAAAGACACCTGTCACCTATTATGCTCCCTCAGAAGACAACTTTTACCTATTATGCTCCCTCAGGAAGACACTGTTACCTATTATACTAGCTTAGGAAGACACTGTCACCTATTATGCTCCCTCAGGAAGACACTGTTACCTATTATGCTCCCTCAGGAAGACACTGTTACCTATTATACTCCCTCAGGAAGACACTGTTACCTATTATACTAGCTTAGGAAGACACTGTCACCTATTATGCTCCCTCAGGAAGACACTGTTACCTATTATGCTCCCTCAGGAAGACACTGTCACCTATTATGCTCCCTCAGGAAGACACTGTTACCTATTATACTCCCTCAGGAAGACACTGTTACCTATTATGCTCCCTCAGGAAGACACTGTCACCTATTATGCTCCCTCAGGAAGACACTGTCACCCTATTATGCTCCCTCAGGCCAGACACCTGTACTATGAATCTCGTGGAAACACCTGTTACTAAGGTGCCTCTAGAGACATCTGTCATTATGTGAAACATCTGTATACACACACACGCACACACACACACACGCACACCACACACCACACAACACCAACACACACACACACACACACACACTACACTACACAAACACACACTCACTACTACACACATCACACACAGCACACAACAACACACCGCACACGCACAAATATTGTATAGATAAATATATATATATATATTATATATATAATATTATATTATATATATATATATAATATATATTATTATATATATATAATCATATATATATATATTATATATATAATATATATATATATATATATATATATATGATCATCGTTCCTTCCAAAAGGGCCTAACCACTTGGCTGACACAAGACAAAGATTCTTTATGACAAAAAAAAACGAGAGTTGTGAGAAACAATAGACTTGTAAAAAGACAATAGATCCCCAGTACAAAAACTGAGAGATTCTCAGAACAACACTGAAAGTCTTGAAGACAAAGGCAGAATGAGGAAGAAGAAGAAAGACACAAACTGAGAGTGAAGACAGAGACATGACACTACTGACACGAGAGAGAGAGAGAGAGAGAGAGAGAAGAGAGAGAGAGAGAGAGAGAGAGAGAGAGAGAGAGAGAGAGAGAGAGAACTGTATCACTGAGATCATCACCATTGCCAATCCCCCTCTCCCCTGTATCCTCCTGTAACCCAAATCCTCCCCCCCATCCATTATCCCCCACCCTATCTTCCCCTGTTCTCCCTCACTCCCTTTGCTGAACCACTAGGGGTAAAGGGAAGGGGCATCCAATCAACGATATTTGGAGTCATCTTAGCGGTGATAAAATTGACAACTCACTAAGTGCTGACCGTGGTTGTCAGCTCCGCGAAAAAGTTATGGATAGACTTTTGTCGCTAGCTGACAAAGAGACAAGGACACGGACACGGAACACCAACACACACACACACACACACACACACACACACACACACACACACACACTCACACACACACACACACACACACACACAACACACACACACAGCAGAGCTACAAGTGGAGGGAGAAGCAGGAAGGCCAGGACGAATGAAGCCAAACTACAAGAAAGGGGACTACACAGGAATGAGGAACTTCCTGAACGGGGTCCAGTGGGACAGAGAACTGGCAGGGAAGCCAGTTAATGAGATGATGGAATATGTAGCAACAAAATGTAAGGAGGCTGAGGAGAGGTTTGTACCCAAGGTAACAGGAATAATGAAAAAGCCAGGATGAGCCCATGGTTTACCCAAAGGTGCAGGGAGGCAAAAACCAAGTGTGCTAGGGAATGGAAAAAATTTATAGAAGGCAAATGACCCAGGAGAATAAGGAGAGCAGTCGTAGAGCCAGAAAACGAATATGCACAGATAAGAAGGGAGGTCCAAAGACAATATGAAAATGACATAGCAGCGAAAGCCAAATCTGACCCGAAACTGTTGTACAGCCACATCAGGAGGAAAACAACAGTCAAGGACCAGGTAATCAGGCTAAGGAAGGAAGGAGGAGAGACAACAAGAAATGACCGTGAAGTATATGAGGAACTCAACAAGAGATTCAAAGAAGTGTTCACAGAGGAGACAGAAGGGGCTCCAGAAAGACGGAGAGGTGGGGCACACCACCATGTGCTGGACACAGTGCACACAACCGAGGAAGAAGATACCTTTGAGCTAGATACCTCAAAGGCAATGGGGCCAGATAACATCTCCCCATGGGTATTGAGAGAGGGAGCAGAGGCGCTATGTGTACCCCTAACAACAATATTCAATACATCTATCGAAACAGGGAGATTGCCTGAGGCATGGAAGACAGCAAATGTAGTCCCAATCTTTTAAAAAGGAGACAGACATGAAGCATTAAACTACAGACCAGTGTCACTGACATGTATAGTATGCAAAATCATGGAGAAGATCATCAGGAGAAGAGTGGTGGAACACCTAGAAAGGAACGATCTCATCAACAGCAGCCAACATGGTTTCAGGGACGGGAAATCCTGTGTCACAAACCTAAATGGAGTTCTATGACAAGGTGACAGCAGTAAGACAAGAGAGAGAGGGGTGGGTGGATTGCATATTCTTGGACTGCAAGAAGGCGTTTGACGCAGTTCCACACAAGAGATTGGTGCAAAAACTGGAGGACCAAGCAGGGATAACAGGGAAGGCACTACAATGGATCAGGGAATACTTGTCAGGAAGACAGCAGCGAGTCATGGTACGTGACGAGGTGTCAGAGTAGGCACCTGTGACCAGCGGGGTCCCACAGGGGTCAGTCCTAGGACCATTGCTGTTTCTGGTATTTGTGAACGACATGACGGAAGGAATGGACTCTGAGGTGTCCCTGTTTGCAGATGACGTGAAGTTGATGAGAAGAATTCACTCGATCGAAGACCAGGCAGAACTACAAAGGGATCTGGACAGGCTGCAGACCTGGTCCAGCAATTGGCTCCTGGAGTTCAATCCCACCAAGTGCAAAGTCATGAAGATTGGGGAAGGGCAAAGAAGACCGCAGACGGAGTACAGTCTAGGGGGCCAGAGACTACAAACCTCACTCAAGGAAAAAGATCTTGGGGTGAGTATAACACCAGGCACATCTCCTGAAGCGCACATCAACCAAATAACTGCTGCAGCATATGGGCGCCTAGCAAACCTCAGAACAGCATTCCGACATCTTAATAAGGAATCATTCAGGACCCTGTGCACCGTGTACGTTAGGCCCATATTGGAGTATGCGGCACCAGTTTGGAACCCACACCTAGCCAAGCACGTAAAGAAACTAGAGAAAGTGCAAAGGTTTGCAACAAGACTAGTCCCAGAGCTAAGAGGTATGTCCTACGAGGAGAGGTTAAGGGAAATCAACCTGACGACACTGGAGGACAGGAGAGATAGGGGGGACATGATAACGACATACAAAACACTGAGAGGAATTGACAAGGTGGACAAAGACAGGATGTTCCAGAGATTGGACACAGTAACAAGGGGACACAGTTGGAAGTTGAAGACGCAGATGAATCACAGGGATGTTAGGAAGTATTTCTTCAGCCACAGAGTAGTCAGTAAGTGGAATAGTTTGGGAAGCGATGTAGTGGAGGCAGGATCCATACATAGCTTTAAGCAGAGGTACGATAAAGCTCACGGCCTCAGGGAGAAGTGACCTAGTAGCGATCAGTGAAGAGCGGACCAGAGAGCTCGGAACTCGACCCCCGCAACCTCAACTAGGTGAGTAGACCAACAGCATACACTCACACACACACACAAACACACAACACAGTTCACACATCACACATACACACTATCTCATTTAAATCACTCTCTCTCGTCTCATCTCTCTCTCCTCTACGTCTCTTATCTCTCCTCTCGTTATCTCTCTCTCTTCTTCTCTCTCTCTCATCTCTCTCTCTCTATTCTCTCTCT